GGTTATTCCTGAGCCTGAAAATAAGAACTGGAAGTAAAGGGCATAAATTATTTGGGAAGCACGTAGGGTGCTGAAAGCAAGGCAGAACTTGTCCCAGCCCAGGATTCCCTCAGATTATTCACGTCAAGCCAGAAGTAGAAGTCTCCCTTTCTTGCTCCCATTACCCCCACAGATACTCATCTACATACAATCCATGCAATGATCCAGATCAGAAAACCTGAGCCACTTGGGGACAGAAGGGCAGGTGGGGAACAACTACTCACACACCTCCAGAATTAGAGTGCTTTCCCATTGTCCCTGCTCACTGCATATCCTCATGCTGACACAATGTGGGGGCACAGACCAGAGCAATGACTGCTATTTCTGCTGCCACCACCACCCAAGAAATGCACCTGGAAATCACAGCCTCGGAGTCAAAACTGCTTCCTGGCATGCCTGCACAGGGTGCGGAACAGATGAAAGTTCAAGGGTGTAATTTCAAAATACCTTTTAACCAGTGCTACCATGTAAAGCAGCTGTCCCTTGTCTCTTCCACCTGACTATTCATTCATATCCCCGGGTCACCTTCCCTCTCTTGGTTGCCTAAATAGGGGTGTGGAAAGGAGAACAAATAGCAACTTTTTTTTTTTTTTTTTTTTCCATATCGGATTAGTTTCAACTCGAATCAGCTCCTTGATCTGATTCACTGTCTGGCCATGCAAATGTTCATGCCAGTATAAGCAAAAACATTGCAGGGACAGAACAAAAGACCAGAGGTAGCAATCGAGCAGGGCCAATTCCTTCAGAGATTCTATCGGCTTAAAAGTCTTTGCAAATCCAAGCTTTTAAGAGCATAAATGTTTGCATCTCAGCCACTTAGCACCTGATGTTGAAAACCCTGCAGTTGAACTGGAAACATTTGAAAGTGATGACTTTGCCTGTAGAGACATGAAATAAAGTGAAGTAATAGGTTTTGTGTTATTTTTGGTATTGCTTTGAGTTCCTAATTGTGTTATTTAGCAAAATTAGTATATGTTAGCAAATTAGCTGAGGCAGATGAACACATGAGTACATATATATAGCAACTATTATAAGAGTGAATACCATCAACTATGAAATCTTTGGACTCTCCCAAACCACGGTAAGATGGATCGTACACAAAAGGAACTCCTCAGTCCCTGACCATAAAATAATATCCCTTCAGTCATCTCTCTAACAAAGGGTGCTACTGAACCACAGGGTAAACATTTAGGTTCTTACGGTATTAGCTACCCACATCGTATGCGTGTTCTGCCCTGCCAGATGGCCTGTAATCTGGTCTCCCTTGAAGCTGAAAGCATCACATTAAACCTCCTAATTGGGGTAATATATTCATAAAGTAATGACCTCAGCCAGTTTTTCTCAAAGTGGGTTACATCATCCAGAAGGATCATGAGAGAGCCCTAAGGCAATCAGTGAGAGCTAGAAAAAAATCCAAACTGTATTTGAAAAAAACCTCATAAAAATATCTAAAATTATAGAAAATGTGTGATGATAATAAAATCAAATTACACTTAAACATATTGACACCAGAAGAAAGTTCCTCAAGTCTGAGGGAGTGTTTTACAATTGCAAACTGCTCACAGCCAACTCTCATCCCTCTGTGGAGGAAAAATAGTTTCCGCTGGCAGTTAAGAAAAGTAGTTTTTTCTCAGGTTTGTGAAGGAAGGTAGAGGCTTAGGGTAATGACACAGACAAAGAAAATATTTTATTTTATTAAAAAAAAAGATATATTGATTTAAATAATTTTTGAATAATTGACATTATAGAAATTTGGTAAAGTTTTTAGAACTTTGCAAGATCCAGCCTAGTAGTGCTTTCTTGAAATCAGTGGGAGTTTTGCCAGTAGCCACCCTTCGAGAGGAGTGGACTAAGTCCCACATTGACCACTAATGAAAATTCTATTCTTAATATTTTCAAACTTGAGTTTTTAACAGAAAATGAAGGAACAACCATGAGTAAGACCTTATGAATTTACAGTCTATTGCGCTAAGGTCTAGCCTGCTGCTCATAAGTTTTTGGGTTGGTTTGAGAAATTTAACAAAATTGGCCAGTTTTACCACAACGGCTCCTAAGTCCTGTGGACAACCTGAAACTTCAGAGTGGTATCAAATGTAGCTTTGTATAGAGGCACACAGTAGGAACGATACTAGAAAAATAAATTAAAAAGAAGACAGATAATAGAGAACCTGTTCAGAATAACTGATTATGGGATGTGAGGAGAGAAATAACGGGCCTTCCCTCAAACATTTTGCTGAAATAAATCCATCCAGAAGGCAGTTAACATGAAACGTCTTTAGTCACCTGTCCCTACTTAACACATGGGAGCAGATTTCTTCCCAGGGCACTATCCCTCAAGATACCATTTACGGATCCTGAAACTCCGCTTTATCCAACATGTTTTTTGGGCATCTACCCATTTGGTCCTCCTCCCAGCAGTGGGTACAGTTCTTCTCCCTCACTGGGCTTTTGTCCAGTAAAAGCAAGAATCAACAATCAATACAGGTGAAAGAGAGTAAAGGAATCGTTCTTGTTCTAACACAGTCACTGTGTCCTGACAGATTATTTTAACAATTCAAACTCAAAAATCATACTCAACATCTGAACTAAAGCAGTAAGCTTCTTCCCCCTAGTTATCAGTGACCTCCATACTAGAGATTTCAAAAGCATCAAAACAATACAGGTACCCTCGTCAGATGAAGTTATAATCTCCGCATTTGGCATGTCAGACAAATGACCTACTTATAAGATTCTTAGGCAGTTTACCTCCCAGCAACTCAAGAGTACTCTCACCACAACAGTGTGCAAAATACAGTGTACAAAACTCAAATATACTACTTTACAAAATTAGAAGTTTCAGTGAAATTGCTACAAAGCAACATGTATATAACAGGAACCAAATGCACTACTGAACAATGGATGGAAACCACTTTCAGTCCAAAGTACACCATTTTGTCATCCATCGTATGTATTAACATAATATAAAGAAACCTACCTAAATATCTGTCCCAGTCACAAAAAGACAAGTTTAGGGATGGATATACACAACTATTCTCTATTAAGTAGAAGCATTAGTATTTGCAGTACATTAACAGTTTTCAGGAGAATTCCAATACGATGCTGTCTAAGCCTCAATCAACATCGTACATGTGTGTGAAGCAGAACTTCAATCCATGGACAGCTTATAATATTCAGGAATTCATCTTCAATGTACAGAAATAGCATTTAAAAGTAAAGAAAAAATTTAACCTCTTTCTACAAAAAAATCAAAAACAAAAACAAAACAAAAAAAAGAAGCAACAAAGCTACAAGACTGAGTTAAAAGTTTTGAGCACTCACGAAATAAAAGAGCATGATTATCAAAGCAGTGATCCAAAAGCATTTTCAAAACACCCAGAAATGTGAATTGCCTCTCAGAATTTTATGGCTTTAAAGTTTTACAGTTTTAGCCAAAGCTGAAGTTAAAGACAAGCTTCCTCTAATCCATTTAGATTCAGAAGCAAATAATCTACGTTCTTCACTTTTTGAATTCAGTTAAGTATGTCCCTATTTTTGAAAGTTCAGGAATGTTTAACACCATATGTAATATCAGAGGACTCACTGTTATTTCAATAAAGCAGGGTTTTAAAATCCCAAATGAAGGTATTGGATTGAATTCAGTTCAAGATTAGGTGTCTATCTGCCTACCTGTCTGTCTGTCTATTAGGTGGTTCAGTAAGCACAGTAGAGATCTAATATTCCATTCTAGTTATAAGAGTTCCAGTCCAACCCGACCAAAGGAACTTACATCAGCTCGTCTTCAAAGTAGTCAGCTGCATCACACCTAACCTTACATTGACTGTCTTGACTAGATAGCTACTGACTACAAAAGCAACTTCGACATCTCAGGGTTGATTCACTTGCCCATACATTTGAGATGTCACGGGGTAACGAGCCTTGTCTCCAGCTTTTGTTCCAGAAGGTCACTAGTCTCTTACTGTCCATGTCATATCTATTGACCTTGTGCAGTTGTCTCTGCTAACCTAACGCATGTGAAATGGCCATAGACACTTTACTAATTTTTAAGTACACAGCACTGCTAGCATAGATGCAGGCGCCTATATTCAGGCTTTGATCTCAAATTGAATGTCTTCTATTCTGTTATTAAAGACAATTTCTGAGAAAATAGAAAAAGGTATCAATGTATATGGAGTAATAAATGTATAAAAAGAAGGTAGAAATGCTTTCAGGAATATATTCATTTCAGTAAGTCTTAACAGGCACTGTATTTCAAATTCTGCTATAGTTTTGTATGGTTTAGATATCATTCCCTTGCAATTAAAAATATATGCAGAAACAGATGTAGTCATTTTGTACCAGCAGATTTTCTTGTAAGCCTTTTAAAGCCAATAATGTTTACCAAAGGGTAAATTTTCCCTGGCATTTTGATTCCCCATTCCCTTTCCAATTACTACAAAATATAGCATTATTTATAACCTGAAATTCTACAACATTCGTAGAACTACAGTACATTTGCCAGACCTTATATACAAGTTACAAATACCTGCCCCCACTCCATACTATCTTATCCACAATAGTTCCTTTCAGTAGTTAGACTGAAGCCAGTTTGTGTTACTTGTATCAGACTATCTCTGCCAGTGTGCATTGCTGAATATTTAGTAGCCAAACACCCTACACTTTACAGATACCAACAGATGCAAACCATCTTTATTTACTAAATGTTACACAGACTTCTTCCACAGAAAAAAGATTAAGAGTCATATGAATAATTTTGAGCCAGATATAATACATCTGTAACCATACCCAACGAAACAAGGCACCCAAATGGGATAATTTGTCTACTGAAAATCAGAAATTGTTGAACCACACTTCTCACAAGAAATCTTTCCCCACTCCCAGCCATACTTTAGAAGCTTCTCAGGGAAGTCTGATCAAGATGAGCCTTCTTATACAACCAATACAGCAGACTGAAAAACACTTACGGTTGATGTGATCAATATAGTATACACCAATCTGAGGATCATATGCGGCTTCCCATCCCCATGGCAGTTCATCCCCAACACAATCCGCGAAAGACAAGGGCTTTGTTAACCTAAAAACAAAGAAACAAGTTAATGGTATAGCTTTTATCTCTTCCACACATACGTTTGCTATTCATATTAATTCCTATTATGACAGAAGCTAAGGAAAGATAGCAGGAAGAAAAGAAAGCAAGCTGTTTTCTCCGTCTTAAACTTTAGGCTCATGTTTTTTCTCTATTCTATCCTTCTGAATTAATTAGCTCCAAGAGCATAATATAAGTCATTGCAAACATTTTTCAGTACAGGCACTCGAGTGAGAAATTCACAGTAACAACTTTCACATCTGACAGTTTAAAATTAAAAAATAACCAATAGCTTGTTAAAAAAAAAAAAAAAAATCTACATTCCTATTTGTCCCCAGAAGAACTGGACCCTTCAACCCCAAGTCTGTGATGAGAGTATAAGATTTCAAGGTCATCTTCTCTAATAACCACAGACAGGAAACTCAAAGTGCGCACAGCCACCTAAGATGCAGTTAGCAGCACTTGCCCATCCACATACTTGAATAAAATAAGCAGCAGTGTGGAGAAGGAATGCATAGAGTAGACATTTTATAAGTAACATTTAATGAGCTTTCAGATGTTCATATGGTGCCTTTGCAGGAAGACAGACAATTAAAGTTTTTAATTTTAATAATGGAGTGCCTATTTGTTACAAGAAATAGATTTATAACAATACATAGGCTCTTTTCCAACTGAGGCTGACCAAAGCTTTACATCATCACATTTTCAACTGTATTTTTTTTTTTCCCCAAATGAGTATTGAGTTTCCTGTTGATAAACCCACTGATAAATGCAATGCCTGATGTACCCATATATTTAATAGGAAGAAGAAAAATTTAGGTTTTTATTGTCACCATAGTGACAATAAGATTAGTACGTAGTCAGAGTTTAAATAAAAAAATCCTCATAATAAAATGATGAAGGGCAGTTTGTGGGACACATGAGCATCATCTCCTTTGCTCACTGCTGCTTACGCTCTATCACATAAGACTGTTTTTTCATCTCATCATTAAAATTCTATACAAATAAAAAGCTAACAATACAACTCACATATGCTTTTTTGTGTTTCAGTATTTTTTCTTCAATTAGTTTCTGACCAAAAGAAACTGGTTTATCGACATTTTTGTGAGAAATGAAAGAGAAAATAATAGTACATTTTCTTTTCTACAAAATGAATGGGCTTTTTTGTGTAGAAAACATTACCTAGAAAATAGTTTACAAAACTACCGAATTAGATTTTTCTTTACAGCTGAGAAACTAAATATTTACGCACAGGTTTGATTTAGAAATCATTGTCCCACAAATATATTATTGATGGATCTGACCTATCAATTCTTTAAGTAGCGCAACACTTTATTCCTCCAAACTGGGGTTGCAGAAATTACACAGAACCAAGCTCTCAAAATCCAAAATCTGTGCAGAGTGTAGATAGACTTTTTAAAATTGTAAGCATGAATCCACTTCCTCATATTTCTCCACGTTTTACAACATCCAGCATTACTTCAAAGATTATTGTTTTGTTTGCAAATAGTAACAGCTAGACAGAAAGAGATGGAAAGCAGGAGAAGCCTTTTAAAGCCAGGATAGTGCACACAACCACAGCTTCAGCCAGCCTGTCCACAGCACACAGTGGACTGAACACAGGGTACCCACGTCAGAGTGTTCCCAGGCCACCACTGCTCAGAGGAAGCATTAATCACATAAAAGCAACAGTCCTTTGGTGAGTTTGGTTAGTCATGTGAACCCGTGCCAACTACAAGGGCACATCTCACTGTGAAGAAAGTCCTGCCTCAAATTAGATTACAAATGTGGATTCTCATAAAACATTTAAACTGAATAAAAATCAGACTTCAATGTCATTCTTAGCCTTGATGTTATATTAACTCAGAACACAACTCTTGTAGCTCAAGGAGAAAAAATATTTGAAATACCATATAGCAGAGTAGGGATCATAAACTCATATAAACATGGCCAGATGGTCTCTAATAAATTCATTTAGAACTCTGCACATGCATTCAATACTTTCACCAAAAATACACACCACAGCAACAATCATAAGATGTGGTTTTTAAACCACCTCTACAGGAAAGATATAAACCCAGTAGCATCCTGCCTTTTCATCTGCACACCACCCCAATTTTATTTTTAATCAAATACCGACTTCTTACTATTGTAAGGCATTCTGTAGGTTAGACTGCAGACCACTCTGGCCATGTGGATGTTTTGTCCAGGTGTTATCACCTGTCAGAAATCGGACACCGTGAGAATGAATAGCAGCCACTCTCTCATCCTAGACACTCCATAAATTAAAGTGACACTAAAAAACCTGTGGAAAAGTACTTGAGTCACCGACTCTGGACCTTAAAGGAAAGGAGAGGAAGAGGGAGTCAGTGGTCCCAAAATACAGGCAGTATTGGAGTAATTATTCTATGAATTCTGCTCTGCTGGATCATGCTTGGACATCACACCTTCTGAACTAAGATCTGAACTATGTCAGGAGAACTGCTCCCAAGTAGATTTTTAAAACATGAAGAGATTTATACATAACAAGATCACAATTACTTAAGAGCATTACATCCCCACGACTCTTTTTTGTTCTAGAGCTTTTTAGTAGCACAAGATTTCTGAGCCGGACATGGACTTTTACAACTGAGCAGCAATCTGCATAAGGTGATATCTGACTGCTCAGGGCCCTCAGAACTGTCTCAACATAAACAGGACTCACTTTCAAACTATGTATGGCAATTGGATGAGATTAACATGACATGAAGATAAGTAAAATGCAAGAGGAAGTTTGCAAGACGAAAGCAAAGAGAGTTACGAGATGTAATTGGAAAGGAAATAATACCTAGGAGCAAGGACTGAAGGAATCTTCTCTGTGTGAAGATCATTACCTCTGACAGAATAACCTATGATAGACGGACTGCCATTACATTCATTAACCGTGACCCAAGAAAAATGAGGTTTATTGCACTATAATAGAGGATTAAGTGCTGTGTCTCAGGGCACTGATATTCTGAGGTAGTTTATAATAATTTTTCAGTTTGTAGTCATCAATTTACATATTTTTAAAAGAATGTCGATACTCTAAAAAGGATGACTCAAAGTCCACATTTAGTATACTACGAAGTTTAATTAGTTAACAAAAGGTGGTTTTTTTAAAATGAATATCATTAACCTCAAGTATTCCCACCTATGGGAATCTTTTTTTTGAAAAACAAAACCACACATACACAAAAAAAAAAAAAAAAAAAAAAAAAACACACAAAAAAACCACCAACCAAACAAAAAAAACCTCCAAACCAACCAAAAAACACCTTCTCTAACTCCTTCCAAGTGAAGACTAATTTATTGGCCTTTATCTCATATATAACATTTTTATCTACTCAACCCTATATGGCTGCAACACTCCCATTTCAGCATACGGATTAAAGTGTACTCCCTGGACCAGGAAGCATTATGTAATTCCATTATGTAAACAGTATATAATTACATTATTGCCAATCACTTCACAGATGCCCTGGGAAACCTAGTAGACAAATACTGCTTACAAATTGAGAAGTTGTATTATCACCTCAAATCCACATTTTTCTTTGAAGTTTTCAAAGTCAGCTAAGATATTAAAAAGTAGATTCTACAATGATATATGGGTTATTAACAGTTTTGAGTACATCTGCAGCCATGCCTACAAGTCTGTACATACATCTAAAGTTAATAAAGAGGCTGATGATACTGTAAGATGGAACCATAACTACAGACTGATGGATTGTCAGTGCAATATTGTTCAATTTGGATAATTTTCTTGCTTGATGTACTCCCTAGACCACAAAAATACATAGAAGAAAGGTTTCTTCCTAAGGTTAGTGTCCACAAAAGATGAGAAATTTACTACATATACTAGTAAATGCTATATTTATGTCAAGATAGAGACAGCCCACAGTATTTCACACTTCTGTGATCTGAGATTATCGATATTCATGGTCTTTAAAATGTGTACGCATATGTATGTGTGTGTGTATATATACACACACATACACTATTTTCAACACATTGTTCTATGCAAGAGTAATGCTGCATTCTGCTGCGTTCCTTCTCCAACTCCTTTTTTCTCCCCAATCCATTCAAGATTAAATCAAATTAGCACTGAACCAGAGGTTATCCATATTATGATTAGGACTCTACTTTATCAATAGAAAACTCTGGACTTTGGTCTCTGCTCTCTTCTAAACTCAGGTGATACCAACATCACTGACCTCCTTAGCATACTTCAAGATCTGATTATATCCACACTCTGAAGGACTGCGTGAGTACAGCTTAACATGTTTTGCTTAGATGTAACTACTTGCACCAGTTTTGTAAGACTGATCTATTGTGATTTACAATATATGTGGTGGAGGGTGTGGGGAAGAGGGGAAGTTTATAGAAGGCAGATCACAGAAAATGGGGAGAGGCAGGGACAAGGGGAAAGAGACACAAACACATACACCCCCAGCAAATCTGAGACATCTTTTCTTCAATTAGAAAGGAAGGAAATGCAGGTTGGTAAGAGGTATGTAAATACTGAGAATTATGAACAGGTTCATCTTAGTCTCTTTCAAAACGACTTTCAAGAATACCTCCTTTGCTGTGTGGTGCTTGACTTACAGTCAAGACTTGGAGTTTTAAATTCAGTTGTAACTAGGGCCAGTGTTCAACTTCTACAGCAACTTCCAACATGCTTTTGAAAACCTTCTCCAAATCCCAATTATCCCCTACCAAAAATGACCTCATGTTCTTTGCCACGTAGCAAGATCTTGTGTGACATTTATATGAAGTGTTGTACTGATTAAATTTCATACCCATTCGTTCTCATAAATAATGTGTAATGTACATCATTATATATTTTCTCTTACAATGCAGTACTCGCTAGTATTCTTTCTATACAGAAACTCTTCTGAAAAAATAAACGCCTTCTCCATGCTCTAGGAATTGACAAGACAAAACCTAAATTACAATTTAGATGTGCAGGA